ATACTATTTAAAATATTACATGGTAGATTTAATTTTGGCTGTAACTAGTAAAATTATACTTGGATAAATTTGTAAAGAATAAAAATATTTGGCAGCAACAACACACCTGATCATTTCTATTTCTTCCTGGACAGTCACCTTGGGTAGACCTGTGTAGGAGAAATCTATACCTGTGTTGATGGATCCGAGTGCTCTAATCAAATGTACTAATACCAGTTCTGCTGGCACAATGGGATTTCTTCCCCTGCCCTTTCCCCTTCTCAGGAAAACCATTTCAGAGCCTTTTGATGAATTTTATACATTGAATAGGGAAAGAATAATTGCCCCTATCTTGTTCTGTCAACAAAACTGCTTCCATGGCAGTTTAATGGCAATACACAGTTGGCTTCTATTCAAAAGCACTGGTACATTTTGGTTTGTTCTCACTATTCCTTCATGGCTGAAGTCAGCATATGTAATTATGCCTTATTAAGATAATTTCAGGTAAATAATGACTGGCAACATTGTTAACTAAAGATTTGGGGAAATTTTGAGTGTGTTTATTTTTGTGTTTATTTGATGTATACCTTGCTTTTTAAATAGATTCCCAGGATGCTTATTAAAAATTAAAGTTAGAAATATCAAATTAAAACAAAGATAAATACCACAGTTTTAAAAACAGAAAAAGTCAGAAATCAAATCAAGCACTGGGAAATAAAGAATAACTGTTCTTGAAAATGAGACAAGTTTTATACTATAATATTACATAGGGTTATAATAATACATATGCCAAGTATATGTAGTAATTTCTGTTATTTATAATGGAAATGCTGTAGAATTTTGTAGATAAAGCATCAATAGTATTATTACTAACATGTTTGTAATTTCTGTAACTCCACAGTACAGTTACACAGAAAATAAAAATGTTCTATTATCTGTGCCAATTATTTACTATTAGGATCATCATATGCTCGGAGTTCGGTAGTCACTGCTGTGAAGTTCACTATCTCTGATCACCCACAGCCCATAGACCCACTTTTAAAGAATTGTATAGGTGAGTGAGATCACAATAATTTTAACGGGGGTATTTAACATATGTACATGTAATTTCCAGAATAGCTTTCAGGATGGAGAAGATTTTGATTAAATCCCCATTACATCAGCAGGTGTGCTTTGCTTAATGTTTCTTTTGGGAATACTGAACTTTTAAGTAGGACAATGGATACTAGGTGATGTAGATGCCTGTTTTCATGCCTTGAAACAACAAGAAATGCTTCCATCAGAAGTAGCTGTTAGCTCTTGAAATAAAACTAACTCTATATACTATTTCCATTAATTGCTAGAGCTGTGCCATATGTCAGATTCAAAGGACAAAGGTCTTTCGAGTGCATATGGTCTCAGTTACTTAAAGAGTTGATATGACTGCCCTCTCTATCTCAGTGACTTTGGGCAGCTTATAATAGCAATAGCAATAGCAGTAGACTTATATACCGCTTCATAGGCCTTTCAGGCCTCTCTAAGCGGTTTACAGAGAGTCAGCATATTGCCCCCAACAATCTGGGTCCTCATTTTACCCACCTCGGAAGGATGGAAGGCTGAGTCAACCCTGAGCCGGTGAGATTTGAACCGCTGACCTGCTGATCTAGCAGTAGCCTGCAGTGCTGCTTTTAACCACTGCGCCACCTTGGCTCTTTATAATCAGTAGAATAAAGTGCCAGTCTATTTTATTTTATGTTTACTTAAATTTATTAGTGCCAATGGACCCTATGTGTTAGTTCTATATAGATAGTAGTAGCAAAACAGAGTGAATCCCCAGAGATTAAAATATCCAAAAAGAAAATTCCTAGCAGAGTCTCAAGAAGCCACTGTTACTTTTGTTTTCTAAGTATAACTACCATAGTTCATGAATTCTTCTGAACTGTATTAGTTTTGGGGGAAACACCAAGTTTAGCAAAAAGAAAAGAGATTCTTGCAAAAGTAATTGGCAAAATACAATTACTTACTGATATTATTCCATTCAATTTTTAAAAAAAAAAATTACTTTCATCCTGCTTACTTACAGGATTAAGTTCTTAAGTCATGAAGCCAAGCATGCACATTGTGATCTAAAAAGAATAAATGTGGCATTTATTTAAAATAAGGAATATTTTAAGGCATCAGTAAAGTAGCTGTGAGTTTATATATAAACTGCTTTCAAGCAAACAAAAACTACATATATAGGTTTGCTTGAAATCAGTTTATATACCATATTTTCCAGAGTATAAGATATACCGGAGTATAAAACACACCAAGGTTTTGAAGAGGCAAATAAAAAATAAAAGTAGGTAGGTAGATAGAGGGATAGAGAGGGAGAGAAAGAGAGATAAACACAGTAGGTAGGTAGGGAGAGAGGGAGTAGTTAGGTAGGAAGGTAGATAAAGGGAGAAAGAGAGAGATAGAGGAATAGAGATAGGGAGAGAGAGAGTAGGTAGGTAGGTAGATGTTTCCAGGTGTATTTATCCATGTGCTAGAGAAGGAAATCACTGACAATCTGCAGCACCCAAGACTTTGTTTCTGCTGGTACAGCACTTGATCAATGTCATTCTCATCAATCAGTTAAAGAGCTTTCCAAAGGGGGGGGGGAGTTTTTGCACTGCAAACCTTCCAAAAACGGCCCATTTTTCGTGAAAACGGACCCTTTAAAAAAAGGCATGAATAGCCTTGTGGGGGCTTGCAGAGTGCTCCTGGGGAGTTGCCCCCTCAAATGAGCAAAATACAGCTCGTTTTCTTGGAAAATGGGCCCATTTTTTGTCAAACAAAATTGCATGCATAGCCTTATGGAGGCTTATAGAGTGCTCCTGGGGGCTGGGGGGGGGCAAAATTGAGCAAAACACGGTCCATGTTTTGCTCATTTCTGCCCTCCCCAGCCCCCAGGAGCTCTCTGAAAGCCTCCATAAGACTATGCATGGCCAGTTCGGTGAAAGGGGGGGAGCCTTCGGGAGGCAAGAAATGCTATATTCAGTGTATAAGACACTCAGAGTTTCAGCCTCCTTTTTGGAGGAAAAAAGGTGCAGCTTATACTCTGAAAAATACGGTATTTATGACTGGATTGTACATAATTGTAAAGAGGATTTTGAGAATAAATTATACCCATAATTGAGAATGAAGATACTTCATTTAGGTTATCACTACAGTATGTTTCTTATTTGAACCAAGGCTCACTATTTATCCCTTGGTACAACAATCCAAATCACTTTGACTATGAAGGGGATAAGGAGGGAAATACATGTGCCTAAGGCTTGCTGCAGTTTTGCTCTAAATTTGTTTTTGTTTTTTCATAAAATGTTGAACAAGACCATATGATGATTGTCTTTAATTATTACAGGTGATTTTCTAAAAACATTGGAAGATCCAGATCTTAATGTGAGACGAGTAGCTCTGGTAACATTTAACTCAGCAGCACACAATAAACCATCACTAATAAGAGACCTTTTAGACACGGTGCTTCCGCATCTTTATAATGAAACAAAAGTGAGAAAGGAACTAATAAGAGAGGTATGTAAATTCTACTGATGTAGTGGTATCCAAAGAATAAAAATGTTTTCTATTTAAAGTTTCAGATCCTTATTTAAATTGGGCCTCTAATTTGAAGACAGCTGTTTTGTTACAATGGTAATTACAGACATGTCAATCAGGAGTGCTACACCAAGTGGCATATAAGAAGTACAACATACTTTAAATAAACTTTGCAAAGTTTCAATTATTATTTCTTTTTTGTCACATTCAAACCCAAACCCATCATGTTAAAATCCCCACTGCCTGAGAAAAGTTGCTAACTCTTTGATAAATAAGAGACTGATTACTAAGAGCTCCTATTCAATACTATAGTAAAACCACTTTAGGAATTAGTGAAATTCAGGGAATTTTATACAGTGGTATCATTTGGTTTTTGCAAATTTTATTTGAATAGTGCAATACTAAGTTGACCCTACCATAGCACGGAATAATGCTAGGAAGAAGTAGTTAAATAGTGAATATAATTTTCCATTGTTTGGTCTACATTTTTACTTGGATAATTCATAGATTCTCTATTCTTATTTACTGTTCTTTGACTGTCACTTACTTCTTATTCTATGTATGTGTGCATGTGCATGTTTGTGTAGAATTGCAGCTGTGTTTATGTTGCTTAAGGTATTCTTTATAGCAGGGCTGTCAAACTCCCGGCTCAAGGGCCAGATGTATCACATGCTAGCCATGCCCACCCCTGTTTCAGTAAAGGGGGGAAAGTCCTGACATGTCATGTGACACCACTGTCACTGATGTGAGTTTGACACCCCTGATTTAGAGCATGGTGTTCAGCCTTTTGGCTTGCCTGAGTGAAGAGGAATTGTCTTGGGCTGCATATAAAATAAGTTAATGTATATAAAACTCAAAATTACATAATAATGTTGAACTTTTATAATTTTGTGGGGCCACATTACTAGCTGCCCAGAGCCACATGCAAGCTGCAAGTTGGACACACCCGCCTTAGAGTATCATTAAATGTTTTAAATTATTTTAAATCATTTTTAATTCTTAATGAATGATTATTGTAAATATCCATTTAGTTTTAAACTAGAAACTGAAATAAAGTGCCATAAAAATTGAATTAGTAATGAAATTTTGTAATGAAGTTAACTTCTAGAACCTTAGTTTGTTTCTGGAATTTCCTTATGACTTTTCCTTGTCATCATTTTTCAAAGACTATTAAGAACTGATAATTAAATTTAATGAATGCTTTTATTTTCTGATTTGGTTTGCAGGTTGAAATGGGGCCATTTAAACATACAGTTGATGATGGTCTTGATATTAGAAAGGCAGCTTTTGAGTGTATGTATACTCTGCTAGATAGTTGTCTGGATAGACTTGACATCTTTGAATTCCTAAACCACGTTGAGGATGGTTTGAAAGATCACTATGATATTAAGGTTAGTTTTTTATATATCTATTTATGTAATATAGTAACATAATTTTTGGTGCAAATGCAATATGTATAGGGATAAAATGTTTCAAATAAAAAGAAATAAAATACTTATTTCTAACACAAAATACAAGTTTTTATGATTTTTTGTTATTGCCTCAGGGAAGCTGTTCTGTGCCAGTAAAAGTTGAAGATGGATTAAAACAACTGCCACATCTTGAGCAAGACTGCTTCAGTCTGCCTCTTCCTTAATTAGAGAAAATGTGCAGAGGCACAGACCCATATTAATGGGAGATGGCTTGAGCTATTTTCAGAATTGACAGAGGTCTCTCTTTCCACCTTCACATAGGACAAAGTGCAAGCAAAACAGCACCAAAGTGCAAGCAAAGCAGTACCAGCACTGGTACTTCCTTGTGTAGGAATGCCATCAGCACTGGCATGTACCAATTAGCAATGGAGGCACACAGGCATTGGATCTTGCTCAAAAAGTGGTGGGTGGTGGTACATAATTGACCTGAGGAAGAAATGCATCTAGGTGGAACCAGTGTTAACTGTCTACATAGGATGGCCAATGAAGTATAGCATTCATTATTTTATTTTCTGATAGTTGTTTAGTTCAAAGTGACAAATTGTGTTAAAATAGAAATAAGACCCACAAATAAATGTCCACAGAAAAATCAAAGTTATAGCAGGAATTAAATACAGATAATCCTTGACTTACAACAGTTCAGTTAGTGACTGTTCAAAGTTACAAAGGCACTGAAAAAAGTGACTTACGACTATTGTTCACACATTTGAATATTGTAGTATCCCCGTGGTCATGTGATCAAAATTCAGATGCTTGACAACTGACTCACATTTATGATAGTTGTAGTGTTCTGGGGCTATCTGATCACCTTTTGCAACCTTCTGACAAGCAAAGTCAATGAGGAAACCAAATTCTCTTAACAACCATGTTACTAATTTACAACTGCAATGATTCACTTAACAAAGATGGCAAGAAAAAAATCATAAAATGTGGCAAAACTCACTTAACAAATTGCTCACTTAGCAACATAAATTTTGGGTTCAATTGTGGTCATAAGTCCAGGACTACCTATACACAATAGTATGCACATCTTACATATGTTATGCCACGTATTACTTACGTTATACATTATATTACATTATGTAACATTACATATGTTAACAGCATATTTAATGGGCACAGAACACTAACTTGGAGGGGTTGACAAAATAGAAAGACATGGTTGATCTTCTGAAAAGAAGTAACATTCCTTTGCAGTGTCCGGTTTATTTAAGTTATGTTTCTCCTAACCAGATGTTAACATTTTTAATGCTGGTGAGACTATCTACGTTGTGTCCAAGTGCGGTATTGCAGAGGCTGGATAGACTGGTTGAACCCTTGCGTGCTACGTGTACAACCAAGGTACTGTATGAATTTATTTATCTTAATATACGATTTGTAAAACATAATTGCATTAATTCAGAACCAATCACCAACTCCTCGTATTAAGCCTGAGTCACCTTACTATTTCTAAAATTGTGATTTATGGGAGTAATTTGTATGATTTTTTTCCAAGAAGAATGATACAAAAGCATCATTCCTATCAGGCTATTTCCCACCTATCCCCAGTTTTTGTTCTTACATGAAAATAAAATAGTCTTATTCCTGGCTTCTGTTCGTTGTCCAGATGTTACTCTACTATCAAAATTGTTTTTAATCTTTATTAAAATTCTTAAGATCAGGATACTTTTTGTTCCTACCATGACTTTTTTCTAATTGTAAGATAACATTTTGTAACAGCTTCAGTAGTGAATAAAAGGTAGAGAAACAAAATCTTCAGTCAAAGATAATAATTCTTCAGATAATAATGAAAGTTGCAAGACATTCTGAAGAACTTTTACTCTGATAGTACTCTATACTACTTATAGTGTGGTGTATTTACATTGTTTGCATATCTTTTTAATTTAATTCTGTTGTTGAATTATTACCTAAACATCATTTTCTTGAAATAAAATAGGTAAAAGCAAACTCTGTGAAGCAAGAGTTTGAAAAGCAAGATGAACTGAAGCGATCAGCTATGAGGGCAGTAGCAGCATTATTAACTATTCCAGAAGCAGAAAAGAGTCCACTAATGAGTGAATTTCAGTCACAGATAAGCTCTAATCCAGAGCTTGCAGCCATCTTCGAAAGCATCCAGAAAGATTCATCATCCACTAATTTGGAATCAATGGACACCAGTTAGATATTTGAACAGGGACCATTAATTTTAACCGTACAATGCACTGAATTTACAATTTACAAGTTAAAAAAAAAAGAAAAATATCGAATCGTCACAATGTTCAATTTTACCTTTATGGAGACAGTTTGGCTTTTTTCCATTGTTGTTTTTTTAGCATTTATTCCAAAATATGTATTTCCATAACTCCAAAGTTGTAAGCCACACATGTTTTAGTGGATTTGAATACCCATTGAATAGAAATAAAAGTTAAAACGCATGATGTATGGAAATAGATTCCAACATCCATTTGCCCTGTAATGTTTAGGATTAAAAGTTTAAAAACTTGTGGCCATGATTTTTCTTTTCATTTTTTTCTTGAAACCAAACCAAATAACATTTGTGTTTTATCTAACTTTGCCTGGTAGATAGGCTTAAAAAAACTGTGAAGAGTTACTATCGTACATCTTAGGTACAATTTTAAAATGGAAACGCAAGTAAATGTCCTTTTTAAACATGTGGGAATAAACAATTTTTGTTCACACTAATTTTGTATGAGGAAATTTACAAATGTGCGTAAAGCAGCATGTGCGATTTATTCATAACTAAATTCAGATAAATATATTGATGCAGGCAGTGTTTTCCTTCATAGCTAATGCAGTTGGTTTATTTCATTGCAATTATTTACATATATATACTGCCAAGGCAATTTTTCATCAGTATAAAAATCATAAGTATAAGCAGCTATATGCAAAACAATTAACAACAAACAGTATTCTAAGCAAAGAAAGATGCAGATAGGGTAGTTCCCACTGGACGGCTTATACAGATGGGATGAGAGACTGCTGACTTGAGCAAAGGATATTCTTTTAAACTTGTTTTTATTTTTCATATATTTGGGTGATCTTTAATATATTTATTTGAAAATCCAAAAGCAAGGGTATTTAAAAATGGTTTTCAAAAGACTACATTGGTCATTCTTAACCAGGCCTGCACAGCATGTGGTTCACTAAGTCTCCTTGTATAAACCACCAGCATTTTTTAAAAAGTTATTAAATGTACTGCTGTTGAGTGCCTTCAGGCCTCATTGCTGCTGTTCCATTAGCTTGCTGATTGGGGTGCCAGGTATTCTTTTGCAGCCTCTGATGGTGATGGTTTTTAATTTATCATTATAGCCGGCTCTTAACAGTTGAGGTAGTCATCAGTGGAATGAAAAAATAGCTTGTGCCCATCCCACCCCTTATTTTTGGTGCAAATCTTGTGATATTCTAGCAATAGTGAGGACTGCTACCTGGGGCCAAAGTTAAATTTCTTCTGTAACTTAAAAGGTCTGCCAAATATGGCGATTGTCGAAGAAGATGCCAGTTTTCATTTGTATCTATATTTATATCTGAGAGCAGCTAAAAAATGGAAAGATAGAATGTCAGTTAAAAAGAGGGCAAGAGAAGATTTGTGACCTGACTACAGTAAGCAAAATAGCAGGGAACAGATTCAGGCTATGAGAATTAAGGTTCCCCCTTCTTTTCCTTGCACTCTACAGAGCTGTTTTAGAAGATGACAAGAGAGGGAAGAAATTTTATCTCCCCACCCCCACCCACCCCTGTCCCTGCTTGCTCTAGCTATGCCGACATCCTTCTAGAACTATATTCCCAGTGCTAGGAAAATCTGTGTGAGAGGAATATTTCTTTTACCCTTTTTTCCTGAATTACCGATCCTCCAAGAAGTATGAACAAGCCTAGTGTTCTAAACTAATTAGCAGGCAGAATAATAGCTCTTATGATATGCGTATAAACTAGAGATTAACTCTTATTTTTATCTTCACTGAAGGCAACAGACAATACTAGATTTTAACTCAAAATTTTTCACCATTCCTCTGAATGAATTGTCCACAATTAAACAAGGAAAGCATGCTGAGCATGGCTTCTGGGAGTCATTCCAACTTTTTTTTTTTTTACCAATAATGGTTGTAGGAGGGACTTATTTCTTTTTCTGTGTAATGAAGTACCATGTTGCATTTGTATTTGGGTGTTACTGTTCTCCCCTTCTGTTGGGGCTTTGTGTGTAAGCATAAACTGGAAAGCAGACTTCCATTCTGGTCATATTAGGTAGAAGGAACAAGGTAAACAAGAATTGGCAATATTAAAAGTCTACCTCTCCATTAGGTATCTCCTGGAGTGTTCCTACCCATTTTGCAGTTCTCATTTCTCCAACACCGAAATTGTTCAATTTTTGGAGATCCTACTGACAGACTTAACCTTTATGTAATCCCCCCCCCTAATACTGTATTGAATTGGAAAACAAAAATCAATATTGCTATAACAAAGCATAGTCTACCAATAGAACAAATATATTTTCTAGACTGACTAAAAAGAAATATTTCATAGTTCACCCTGGGCTTACACTTTTAAAACTTTTTAAAATATATATGCTGAAATACTCGCACTAGTTCAGTAATTCTGAATGAACCAAGAATGCTGATTCTCCTCCGCTCCCCGCCCCCCAAAAAGCAATGGTAGAATACAATCTGCTTTGCTGCTTACCAGGTGAAGATGGAATTCCAAAGAGATAAATGCAGTACACCAACATGACTAAAGAATTTTGGACACCTTATAAAATTACATAGGTTTTGTCTCAAAAATGACCTGACCTAAAATCATACACAGATTTTATTTATTTCAGTATGCTCTTTGTAATAATTTGATTTTAGAAATGCTGCTTTGGAATACAGTAATAAATTACACATTAAATGTTCTGTCTTTTATTAACTTTAATTGGAGAGTTTTGTTTAAATTTGCCATTTTAACTATTGAGAAATATTTAAGAGCTTTTTAAAAATGTTTTGTTAAAATTGGCTACATTTTATATTGTGTGAACAAATAGGTGGGCTGCATTCTTTTGCAGTTTTGCAGAATGGTCCCTCTGGACCCCCCCCCCCAATGCTATATAATTTAGAATAAAAATATATAGAAGCATACTGTTAGAGATTACAGCTTGAAATGTTTTATCAACATAATATGCTCATAGTCTCAGAATGAACTACTTGTATTTTTCAATATATTAATTTTCATATTCATAGTACTCAGTTTTTTATTAGTAGCATTTGGGTTTCCAGCAGCACAACATCATCTGCATAGAAAGATGCATGGATGTTCACATCTCTGGCTATCTATCTTCATCATATGTATTGTTACATATTTATCCATAAATATAACAATGCATTTCTTCAACAATGATGAATGCATTATATGTCCTTACTTTATTTCCTACACAAATGAGCCATTTGCTAGGCATTCCATGCTTCACTTTTTTGTGCATTCAAAACCAATTATAAACTCTCATTAAGCAAAATCTTCCAGAATCCAACTCTTTTATCATACACTTTTATCATATATTCTAAATCAACACATGTCTAATAAATCTCCTTTCTCACATTCATACATTGCATCCTGAGCATGTTGCTGTACTGCATGTATATCTTTGGTTAGCAGGCAATAGTATTACAAATAAAAATTAGTCTGCAGATTAGAGATCATTGCTTAGAAAGTTATGCACACAGCTAAGTTAGAACTGCATTTTGAGTGCACTTGTATTTTGGCCTAAATATGCCAAAACTGACTGGTACAATTCTTATTGTCAGTGAAAAAATTGCCTAAGGTATAGGTATGACCCATACTCATGCAGTATTCTAGAGTTTATTCTAGACTCTCAAAAGGCATTTAATTTTTAATATTTCTATTTTAGTACTTATAATACTAAGTACTTAGTAGTTAAATTACAGTTTTTATTTGTTTTCTGCCTCAAAATACCAGGAAATCATTCCATTGAATTTCAGCAATAACGGCAGTGTGATACATTATTCAGCAATAATACACTGCTCAAAAAAATAAAGGGAACACAAAAAATATGACATCCTAGATCTGAATGAATGAACTATTCTTATTAAATACTTTGTTCATTACATAGTTGAATGTGCTGACAACAAAATCACACAAAAATTATCAATGGAAATCAAATTTAGCAACCCATGGAGGTCTGGATTTGGAGTTACATTCAAAATTAAAGTGGAAAAAAACACTACAGGCTGATCCAATTTTGATGTAATGTCCTTAAAACAAGTCAAAATGAGGCTCGGTAGTGTGTGTGGTTTCCACGTGCGTATAAGACCTCCCTACAACGCCTGGGCATGCTCCTGATGAGGTGGCGGATGGTCTCCTGAGGGATCTCCTCCCATACCTGGACTAAAGCATCCCCCAACTCCTGGACAGTCTGTTGGTGGATGGAGCGAGACATGATGTCCCAGATGTGCTCAATTGGATTCAGGTCT